TGCTGCAAAACTTGTTTTCCTTAACACCACTAAGCGAGTGCTTCAACAATCTGGGAAAGACCAGTCGCCAATCCTCGACACTTCAAACTGCGTATATCAATTTGAGTGTGTTTGTGGAAGCAAATGCATAGGTTGTAGGGAAAGGAGATTGTCTACTCGCATGATGGAGCATTTGCCAAAATGGTTGAAAACAGCTGAGTTCAAAGTGCCAAAATCCTCAATAACAAAGCATCTTGTGGATTACAGGCATGATATCGACGCGGTCAAGTCATTCACCATTGTCAGCAGACAAAGAAACAAGAAAATGCTTGCAATTGCAGAGGCTTGTGGAATTCGAGTTTACGAACCAGGTCTCTGTGTACAAAAGGAGATGGTCGTGACTCTGAATCTATCATGGTAATACGTTTTACTTATAATTCTACCTCTTACTATTATTATTCTCATTATTATTATTCTTGATTCATTTAAAACTATCCTTTATCAGTAGCATTATCTTAACCCACTTCAACACTATTATTATTATTGTTATTATAACTATTACTATTGACATCCCTCTGGTTGCAATTCTTGTTGAATTCTCTAATGTCTGATTGTTTATCTAAGTGATGTAATTGAAGCGTAATGCAATTTATCTTAATTTTGATCTCCCTTACTCTCTCTCCCCTTATCTAATTGAACATGACCTGGAAAAAAACTCGCACCTGTCTTTCTGCATGACTAATTCAATGTAGTTTATTTACTTAGAAGTCCTATATCTCCCAATGTAATTTCAAAAGTATATATCCGTGTATGTAGAGTATTCAGCTGACGAGTTCTACCGAAATTTGATGAATTCATTAAATCCTGCTTTATTAACCTTTATTGCTTGTTTTTAATATAAAATTTCATTTAAAAGTGTGTTAAAAATGTAACTTGTTATTAAACCAGCATAGCAAAACACTACGATGCTACAATTAGCGGGAATATGGAATAAAGCCAGTCCCAGGAACCCCTTATTTTGTTTATTATATATTCACAGGTGCACCCATGGTACAGTCGCAGAATACTCGTCAGCCACGTATGTGATTCGGGGTTCGATGGCCGGCCGACACACTCATTCATCTCGCAGACCAGTAGTAAGACTGGTAAAGAGGGAAGGTTGGGCATGAAGCCAGCAACCCCGTCCCGTAAAAAAAGACAACTTCAAAGCTGTAGCCTGAAGCCCTTTGTTCCACTGGGAATTTAAAGGAATAAAAATAAATAAATAAATTCACAGACCTATCACTCAGCCACTTAATCCCACTTTTCCCTCGTATTCATACTGACGATAGATTTCACATGCATCTCAATAATAATCAAACTTAACTGACTATAATTCCATGTTGGTATTGCTCCACACTACATTTTCTAATAAAGTTTTGATTTTCTTTAGCTGGCTGTTGTGTGTTAACAGTAATGAATATATAACTATTAAGTCTCAGAAAGGGATTTTTGTTCTCTGTAATTACTCTTGTTTTGAATATATTATGACTAACATAATCTATCCCTTGGGTTCTGAGTGGAACATAGGGCTTTAGCAGCATATCTTCATTTCACCCTTTTCTACATTATCTTTCGTAGCTGTCTTCAAGGTTACCCATAGGATTTCATTTCCTTTTCATATGTTGTCCCCTATGTCACCAACCAATATCCGTTTTTTATTCAGTTTCCACTTGAGAACCTGGTGTGTGATGTCCTTCGACAGTCTCCCCCGAGTATACCCAGTTCATCTCCATTTACTTCCGGATATACATAGGGCAGTAGGTTCTTGGTTGATCGAATGCCTGCCAGAGTTCCATGTAGCTTATCCTTCCTGGCCATCTCATCTTCAATATCCTGCTACTGAAGTTAGGTGTTGGTGAAAGTCTGCAGTTGTCTTGTGGAAATTCTTTTAGTGACTTGCCAATCCTCTGAACCATACAAAAGCAATGACTTGAAATTAATGTTAAAAATTCAGATTTTCTTTCATATAGTAAATGATGTAGATCCTCACCCTGATTTTGGAGTAAGGAATGGCCAGTATTGCTTTCATCATCTTATTTTGACTGGCTCTGAAATCCTTATTCCTACTACTTGTATTTCATCGACTGGTGGTCAGCTACAGGAGAGATGATATTTTTGAAGTTTCTTTCATTTATGACTCCCTTTCCTTGTCGTTATTTGAATATTTACACCACATCTATCATCTCTGTGTTCATTTCAAGTTCTGTCTTCTCAGCTTCTTCTCTCAGATTGTTGGCTTTCACCTCTTAATCTTTCTGATTTTGTGAGACACTATGAATAAAACATTTTTGGAATCTAGATACTCTAGTGTCTTTCTGTCCGTTCAACATATCATTATCTTCTCACTCTCTGTACTTTACTGCATGATCCACTCCACCACAATCACGAATATCATCGGTGATAGTAGACAGAGTTGTCTTTTTCCTACCTTCACTTCAGAAGCTTCACTGAGTTTCCCGTTGTGAATTAATTGGAATGTGTCGTCATATAGCTGCTAAATGACCTTTATTAGTGTTTACTACACTGTACTCTGTACTGTTGAAGGAGTCTTCAAATTACTTCGCGGTCAACTATGTCCAGGGTCTATTAAAAGTTGCTCGAGTTGTGGTAAAGGGTTTCCAGCCATTTTATAATATGTTCGATAATGACATGTGGTGTTGTAATTCGATCTGTACACGATTGATTTCTCTTGAATCTAGCCTGTTCTAACCGAAGTGTTCATCTCACTGCATCTTTTAGTGTTTCCATAATGGTGATGCCTTTTAGTGTCCAAGAGCATGATTCGGAGGCAGTTCGAGCACTCTGACATGGTAGGCTTTCTTCTAGTCAGCAGCTTGATTTTCTTCTTCCTACACTTTCTTCAGTACTGGTATTCGCATGTTAGTTTAAGTCTCTCGGTCCATTTTCTATGCCTTTTATTTTGGAGGTAGGGGGGAGGGGATGGGGTTTTATCTAGCCCTTCAAATTCCAGTGAATTCTATAACTTTGGGGACTTTATAACCTCCGCTTTTGTTCAGACGTGTCTTCTAGTGGTATTCTGGGACAAAATTACCACAGGCAAATCTCTGGAGTTTTAGTAAATATTTTAGTCTTAATGTATTCTAAAATAAATAAAGTGCGTCGGTGGCATAGTGGTTAGGACGCTCGCCGACCATGCACATGGTCCGGGGTTCAATCCCCGGCCGACGCACTCCTGTACCTCGCTAAACCAGAACTAAAAGCTGGTGAAGAGGAAAGTTTGGGAATGAGGCTAGCAAACCCATCCTGTAAAATAAACACTGCTAAAGAAACTTCAAGCCACTACCTTGAAGGCCTATGTTCCACTGGGGAACATGAAGGAAATAAAAAAATAAAAATTCAAAGTTCAAAAAACACTGAAATTTGTACTTGCAACAGATAAAGTTCTCATTAAATGTTTTACCCTCTACCTTCTGACATAGTGTGTCCTCGAAACTTGAAGGTCACAGAGTGAATTTGATGCATCTTACATCTTTCGATGTGTGCTAATTTACTTATCCTGAGGACTGAATATCAGAAAGACCAATCTGTAGTAATTTTTCTAGGGATTCGCCTCTGAGAAGTTTCAAATTAAAAAAAAACAACTTGTGTGTTAATTATTTATTCATAGGCACCTTAAAGTTTTTTCTTAATTATTATTTCATTTTCAGTCCTTCACTTCCAAGCTTCAGATGAGAAGTTTCTGTAGCAGTTGTGTGTTTTTTGTTTTACAGAGTGACCTTACTGGTCCCACACCCCTCCTTCCCTCTTTATTGGACTTACTACAGGCTAATCAAGGCTTAGGAGTACATCGGTCTGGGGTTGAGCCACAGACCGCTTGTGGCGTGGTTGGTGGCCAGTATTCCTTTGTCTATAACACCACTTTATTCAGCAAAACTTATAAAAGATAATATATATAAAGTTGAAAACAGTTAGTCCTTTTTATAAATTTTGATGGAATTATTAGAAGACGGAGATTATCTGAAAAATGTGATGCACTTGCGCTATACATTTGGAACAATCTGATCACACATTTACTTATCAAGTCAATATATATGGAAAAGTTGAGTTAAACAAAGTGACAAAAAAAGAATTAAGAATAATTAACACAAACGTTTGGTAATCCAATCAAATAAGTATTACCAAGGTAGGTTAAGAGTAATAACAAACTGTTTTTGAATACACCTAAGGAGGCTTGAGTTTATGAATGGCTATAGCCTCAGCGTATTTCAGTAAACGTCCTTGACCGTTTTTATAGATGACCTTAAAGGCTGAGTTAACATCAACCTTATGGTTCATCTCGATTAGATGTTTAGCTATAGACGAAGTTGGTAGTCTGATACCTGCATCTATTGGCTTGTCACAATTCATCTGTTTTCCTAACCATTTTGGGATATGCTCTTTCACCTTCACAAGCAACCCGCGATTACTCCTCCCTATGTATGTATGTCCACACACACACACACGAAAATTGGTAAATTGTGTGGGATGTGACATAATCGCTTGTGCACTTTTCAGGTTTGCAGTGAAGCATATTTTTAGCTTTTTCCACAATTACAAGCTGGGCTGCATAGTCGGTTCTACGGATGATCGAATTCAACCTTTGTCTCAAAATCCTACTGCTTATTTTCCCGTTATGTGGTAATTTGATGAAAACCTTTTTCTTAGGGATAGTATGGATTGTAGGTTTAGAGGCTAGTTGACTTCTACACCTGTTTAAAACTTTCAAAGGATATCCATTTTCAACAAGAGTACCCATCAATATTTCGTTTTCTTTGTCTATAACATCAGCCGTGCAAATACGCTGAATCCTCTAAATAAACACTTCACCAAGCCTCTCTTATACTGTAATGGACAGAAGCTGTGAAAATTAAGATATTGCCCTGTCCAAGTGGGCTTTCTGTAGATAGACCGTCTTATTGAGCCATCGTCTCTTAGACTCAAAATATATAAAGTTAATGAAATAAGTATGTTCAACTTACTGAAATATCATTCAATGCTTTCTGTAAAGTATTATATTCACTTTTCAATATATCAATTTCTGAAAGATTTGAATCAAATATATCTTTTTGACTTCTACAAACATTAATTTCATTATCATCCTGTTTATCATCAATAGTATCATTATTTTTCTCTACTATTGTTGTATCAAAGTCAAAATTTAAAGGTTTACTAAATCCTGTCATAATCAATGAATTGACAGTAACTTTTAATATTGTACTATCACTTAATACCCAGGAAGAATCAGTGTATATTGATTTTTTCACTGGTGTCTTGACTGCATTGTTCCCCTTCGTGTTTTGGCTTTCATCAGGAGGAGAAGAAGCGGAAGAAGGTGATGATAATGGTGATGAACATTCATTTTGTGTTATATTGCATGTTGGAAATAAAGTTAATAAATGTAACGTTTTCAGTAATCCTCTCATATGATATTCAATAAATGTTGTAAAGGCAGTAAACAACTGATCCGACTGTTCGCTGGTTATATTCGTCAGTTGACCAGTATTAGCATTACGCCAACATTTCATCAACTGATATTTATTCTTATGTAATTCATTCATCATGTATTTTTGTAAATTAATCAAATTTACTCGAACTAGTGTAGAATCTAATTCTGTACCGATTATTGTGCATATATTACGAAATTCAGCTGAAATACTATTTAGTAGATTGAATTGCTTTAGAAATTCTTGATATTCATCATTACTATTATCATTATTAGTAATATTATTAATATTATCACCAGTCAGGGGTTCAATCTTGGTCATTTTTAGGAAATAAGTAGATTTAGAGTACAGTCACAGTTGGCAGCAATGAAGACAGAGTTTCTACATGTGGTAAACATTTATCCTCATATACATATGTATATATAGATATACATTTGTATTTATATATGTATATATGCATCCACGATAGGGCGTTTTTTCGCTCTATACATTTCCTCTTTTGACTTGTAAACGACAAATAGGAAAGTATATTCTAAAATTAAGGGAGAAGGTGGTTAGTTATCTGTATATATATATATATATATAGTCTTTGATCAAAGAAGCATATCCCTAAAATTCTGTATACTGACAACAACCTTCAGTGAAGTTATTCAATCATAACAAATAGTTCAAAGTTAAATTTCTGAAGATGAAAACACTCACGAAAACGCAATCATAATTATTTTTTGCTTTGATGTTTTATTGTTTGTTTTTACAAAATGAATAAAGTTTTCTTGAAATGCATGCACTAACTTCAAATAAGATAAAAATTATTTTGAACAAAGCAAGAACTACAGTTTTAGCAGAATAAAATGGTACCATCATTGTTTATTTCGTTGCCTTCTCGTCAGCTGCTTACAGAGCAAAGACATTATTAAATGTATCTACACAAAACAATTTCAACATACTTGCACAGAGTTCATTTTAAACAAAAATCAATCTATCACTGTATGCATACAGTAATTATATATATATATATATATATATATATATATAAGTAATATTAAACACTTCCGAACAATAATAATCATACACAATGGAAACTTTACAGCATAACGCATTCAGATGAAAGAGAGATGAAAATATCCAGTTACCAGGCAGGGCAAAGAAAGACTGATAACCGCTTCTTTCTTGACGCATAAATCAGGTTCCAGGTGCTTGATGGAAATGGCTTCAGCAAACTTAAGGACGATGGAGCTCTTTTGCCTATTAATAATTTTGAATGACTTTTCGACGTCCACCTCATGACCCGTGTCAAGGAGATGCCTGGCGATGGCACTGTTCAAAGTATTTGTTCCCTTTAGACATAAGCTTTTTGGTAAATGTTCAGAAAATCGTAGATATGCCCTTCTTTCTGTTCTTCCAATGTAACTGCTCCCGCAGATACATGTAAATTTGTATATACTGTTGGATTTAACATGAGAAGGATATCTATCGATTTTTGATTGCACCAAAGAGCAAGTTGTTCGATAGACCAGGACCAGCTTAGCTGCAGGATAGGCTATGGCTAGTGATGTGCTCAGCAACGAAATAAAAGATGGTACCACTTCACTCTGCAGAAACTGTAGTTCTTGCTTTGTTCAAATTCATTAAGGGGAATAAATGTAGGAAAAATTATTTTGACATAGATTTAGGAAAAAGTGAAAAAAAGTAGTTTTTTGGATGGTGACTAACAGCAGCAGAGTTCAGTGGTTGCGCATTTCATCCCATTTGAGACTCGTTAGCTGCTTGATGTATCACTTGGATTCCTTATTTTGTGATGGTGTTCTCACTAAAACTTGAGCCTAGTACTGATCATTTCAAACACTGAAAGCGTTATCCGTTCGACTCTTTTAGGATACAGTAGCCATCTTTAATACAAACGGGTATCAGTTATTATTTGACATGCAATCCAAGTGGTCTAGCAGGTGACTTCTTAGCGTTTGAAAGGATGAGTATTTGGTTCGAGTCTTCATGAGGACACCATCACACACTGGGGAATGTAAGTAGTATTTCTAGTGGCTGATGAGTCCTAAACACGATAAACTGCCTGTCTTGGATTCCACTGCTAGGGACCATCCATCAAGTTACTTCAAGTTGATCCCCAAACATTTCTGACGCATCCATACTGGAAGCCGAAATTTAAACAGATACCACACATTTTAGTCCAAACAATCAATGAGAAAATCAAAATTGAATTAAATGCAAAATGTCTTAAAAGAAAGTTGTTGATTAGTGTCAACAGATTAGGCGATAGTGTTGTTATTGTCAACTATAAGTTATCCAGATTGAGAAAATACGCCTCAAGACCTAACATGTCTGTATTCTACAGTGATCGAAATCAAATCTGTGGTTCCCTTTTCCAAACACTGGCAAGCAACGAAGCACTAGTGGTAGTGATTTTGAACAAACTGTAAGTGTATGACTACGAGAGAAGGCTTTTGATAAATCATACTGTTAGACAGTTACGTCATTAATTATTACGACTGACAGTCTCGATAAAATTACAAGATTTAACCGATGTAGTTGTATCAAAGTGGATTTTCTCACGAAACACTGTCATTTGAGGAATCGTTAGAATCCACAGATCCTTTAACCGCACACATAAGCCCACCTTAAAATCAATCAGATTACAAATTTGACATTTCACAATCAGATTATATGTTAAAAATGGTTCTAAATAAATAAAATAAGGACAGACTTTTGCAAATAACAATGCTCAATCCCTTATTAATTGGTCTGCATCAATCACTGACCAAACTTCTAGAAAAAGGGGTAATTATGATATGTGGTAGATTCGACGTGTGTCGGTGGTATAGCGGTAGGATCCTCGCCAACCCCGCATGTGTTTTGGAGTTCGACCTTCGGCCAATTCCCTCCTTCACATCACTAAGCCAGTGACAAAACTGTTAAACACGGAAGGTTGGTAATGAGGCTAGCAACTCCATCGCGTAAAAATAAACATCATTGCTACCGAAACTCCAGAGTTGTAGCTTGAAGCCCTATGTTCCACCGGGAATGTAAAGGAATAAAAATAAAAAGTAAAAACCTACTTGTATAGCCATGCGAAGGAGAAAAAAAGAACAGAGCTATTGTTATTTTTTTTCTCTCATAATTATCGACTAAATATATATTTACGCTGCCCTGAACATTTCATTTGAACAGAATGAATTCTCCATGCCTTATACTTAATCCAAAATACTCAAAAGTAACCTTTTATAAACCCATTGAGTCAATGTTTCCTCTATCTAACTTCTTATCCATGAATTCGATTTGTGTGGATTCATGTTTGTCTATCTGTGTGAGATGTATAACAAAATGGGTTAGACAGTCGTAAAGTGATACTGATAGGTACTTGATTTCATGCAACAAATTTGCTAAAGAGATTTTGTCAAACTGTGAGCAACCACCACAGCACCCGCACCTTTCACCTTGTCTCTCCTCCTCAGGTAAAGCAAGAAGTCATTTCAAAAGACTTTATGAGCATACGTCTAAGTATAAAAATTCTTTGATGCCGTATTTGGCACGTATTTTATATGATACAGATAGTGTCAGGGACGAAATAACCAACCTTCTTTGCACTAGTAGTAAATAAACCATTTTCTCCATCCTTATTCAACCAAGCTTTACTGCTATTAATCTCCTTATATTAATAATCCTTTCTGTTTTGTGTATGTTTATTTTCTGATAAGTGTAAACATCATTTAAGCTCTGTAGTATAATTGTTATTTTTTGTTTTTCCCTTCACCATGCTATATCAAGAGAACAATAGATTCAATACTCTTTAACATGATAAAATTTCCATACTGCAGAGAGAATACTGTTTGAAACAAACCCGCTGTTATTATTAGTATTATTATTATTATAGTTATTATTCTCATTTTTGTACTTTGCTCATTGCTGACTTTACTCCTACTGTAAATGTGGAAAAGTCCCTGTGGTTACTTTTAATTTATCTTTTGAGTAAATCCGATGCAATTTTGTGAGAAATGCTGAGAATTCCATTCTGTATTATGAGGATTGCTTTTGAAATAAAGTAGATTATTATTATTACTATTGTTATAAGCAATAAATTGTGCTGGAAACGTTGTGAAATAACAAACTAGCAAATTTATATACATTCATATTCTGCTTTAATTGTCTAAGTTTTATTCTTATACATTTTTTGTGTCCATTATAAGTATTATCGGTTAGGACTCTCACCGACCATGCACATGGTCTGGGGTTCGATCCCCTGTCAACGCACACCTGATATCAATTAGTCGGCCTGCTAAATTTAGACTACCGACATCACATGCTGAAAATTCCATACTTGTACCAAAAGTACGGTGTGGAATCAAGCTATAATTAATACATGTATATTTCTTTATACATGTATATATTAAAAGTCAATAATGAATGATTTTAAAGCATACCTCTAGATTCACCAGTTTCAATGAACAAGGCTTCTCAGCGTTGTTTAACGGTCGTACCTAGGTAATAGTCTTCAGATTTAAACATGTGAAATTATATTTTCAGGGTTGTAGGCTAGTATATATGGCCCATCGCATTAATTGTCCTTCATTTCTACTTGTACCCGAATAGTACTCATTCATAGAGGTGCATTCTGAAAGTATACTTTATCGTATAATCCTGTATTCTGTCTGGTGCTAACAGAAACTCATACACTGGTGTGTTATGATATATTAAAGAGAAAAATAACTATAATCAAGTATTCGCTTTTAGGGATTTGATTGATTGGTTACAGGATTGCATCATGAGCTGATATTCGTCATTGAACTACAGATGAAGAACCCCAAACTAGGACGAAACAGCACTGCAGTACTCCTTTCAGGTTTTCCAGTTGTTCTCTAACCGATTTCAGCTCATGATGATGAAGTCCTCATACCAAAAAAAAAACTATAACTGCGAACTTAATAATTTATGCAAATTGAAACCATCTACTTACCCTGAAGTATATCCTTCCACATGGAATTTACTACATCGAGGAGAAAAACAGATTTTGAATTTAGAAGTAAAATAATTGAATATTAAAGTTGCTATATACATACATAAACATGCATATTTCAACAAGGAAATATTCGAATCACACTATATACGTGAGGAGAATAAAAGATGAATAATATACAAAAAGAAAGAGAAAACAGTTTAAGATTCTTGAAAATATATTGTTAAAATTTTTAAATCCTCATATTATTGGACAAACAAAAAATGAGACTATTTATTTTCTATATTATCTAGCAGGCAATGTTATTTACAGGGCGTACTAGGTTGTTATAGTGACGAAATAATTTTAAAATTTGAAAACTATCCAGAAACTTTCCTTTACTTTGTGGTAAAATATATTTTGAAGAACGGGATAAGATAAAAGTAGAAATTATTTAAAGGAGAAACACTGTCGCCTGTTATTTTATTATTATACGATTAAGAGGAAATCCTCAAAAAGAAGAAAAAAGAAGAAATGCAAACTATTTAGTCAGGCGTCTGTCTTCTCCTTCACCCATCAATCTATCCTCCTAGATTGTAGATTATTGTTGAAGTCACCTGCATATAGGCTTGTATTTTTGATGTGATGAGATGTGCTGAAGCACTAGCTATTTAACTAGTGGTCTTTTCCGCCTATTATCTGAATGCATTTGGAATTTATTATTTTTAGAGTGTGAATTAAGACACCTAACACATAACAGTAGATTGC